GAGGGGATGGCCACGTTGCAATCCCTTCTCCTCCATTCTCTTCCGGGGATTTTGGGCACACACGCTTGCATGGCCAGCATGATATTCAAGCTGCCAGGTCACGACTGAAACTGTGGTTGGTCATGTAGGACCCCAGGGGCTTAACAACCACATCACCTGCTGGCTCCAACACTCCTAAAAGTTTTATGGCATTCGGGTTAATAGAATCTGAACACTTTGCAATCGTGAATGAGCACCGTGCCGTGGCCAGGATAGCTAGGCCCTGAGCAGAAGCAGCACGTCTCGGTTTGCATGTTTAATCTGTGTGGGTGCCCACTGACCACACGCCAGCTCAAGAGGAAGTGAAGTAAGCCTGGGCTTCCTTTAATGGGGGGCTGTCTAAGTTAGGGCATTTTCTCCTGCAGGCCTCTCATGGGTTCCGACTCCGGAGGTGCGATGCCCCGCTCTCCTCACTCCTGGGCAGGGATCCATGTCCTGCAGACACCATTTGGGAAACTTTGGTTTGAATACCACTTGTCACTTTGGGTGCCACGCCGGCTTCACCCTTCTGGGAGACAAGATTCTCAGATGCAGACCTTCAGGACGGTGGACAGCGGTGACTCCAGAATGCAGAGGTAATTTGAACCGCACAGGCTGGTCCAATTCCACCTTCCTGCAGGGACTCAAGCTAGCACTGTGCCTGCCTGTGGACATCCCCCGCCAACCCCACAACTACCGCAGTGTCAGCTCCCCCTGAAACCCACACCAATCCCAGTCGGAACAAGTGTGAGCGGGCACTTCACCCCTGCCCTTCCTCGTGTCACAGCTAGGGCCCCGGCACTCAAAGGCCTGCAGGAGGGAGCATCTGATGATGCCCCAGTTGTGCTAGACTGGCAAGCCCGGGTCGAACTGAGAAATACGAGCTGTAACTCTGGTGGTTACGAGCAGTCTGAACACCCCATATTGTCGTAGTCAAATACTGGCCTGCCAGCTAGTCACAGATACAGCCACAATGACATCTACAGCAGTAGCACTGCGTTGTTGGGGAAGTCATGATATTTTTTTTCTATTTTTCGATGCAAAACTTCATACTGACTTTTCCAACAACCCAACAGTATTTTTGAAGACGAAATCCATCCATGAGCAAGCAGGTCTTTGCCGGATGCGGTTCTGCCTTTCCTAGGCCCTGTGCTGCCATTCCTCACCTAGGTACTTCTCCGTGTGTGAGACGTTGGAGGAGCTGGCGGGCACGTAGGAAGGGACTCGTGTCCTTTCTGACCTCTCGTATCCCACCTCCGCGGCCGGCAATGCTAGCCAGGTTACAGACGACCATGCTGTCCTGCCCGCATCCTGCAAACCTGTTTGTTCCTCCTGCGTGCGTTTCTCCTGCAGCTGTCAAGTGCTCCGAGCTGCACAGCGAACAGCCAGTGCTGATGAACTGCTCCAACCCCTGGGGAAATTTCAGCTTTGGGTCCACCTGCACCTTCCACTGTCCAGAGGGACAGCTACTGAATGACTCAGCAGAAACAACATGCCGAGAGAGTGGGCACTGGTCAGCACCCATGCCAGCCTGCCAGGGTATGGTTTTCACATGGGTTTGGAAGTCACCTTGGCGGGAAAAGTAACCAGGCCAGGGTTTCTCCTGTGCGTGTTTCCTACCCGGCCTTGCTTTGCATCACCGGGCTGCCACGAGCTTCTTAATACCCCACAGCTGATCAGGCTGATGCTCCTCGTCTCACTCAGTGTGGTGGAAGTTAAACTCAGGAACGCCGAGAGGATGGTCCCCATTCTTCTCTGGTGCTCAGATTTGTAAAACGAATCCTCTCACTTTCTGGCAATCTCTGTTTATCACATCTGGAAATGCTACAAACGGGGAGTTTTTTCATGCAGATTTCTAATTTATCACCTCAGAGCCCTTCGGTTAACACTGAACTATCGCAGCTCTTCTGTCTGTCGGATGCATTTCCTCCCCTTTCCCTCCCCCAATGCTCCCTAACAGCTCCCTAGACTATTCTTCACTGCATAACTGAGTCTTGGATTACCAAAGAAATTCCTGCGGTTTACCCCATTTGACCAGACCTCCACGTGCAGGTCTCTTGTGTCGACAACCTAATTTCTTTTACTGGCCCTTACCTCGACTCCCGTGTTGATATTTGGGCGTTAGGAGTGAGAGCGAGGCCTGCTGCCCGTTCTACACCTGGGTTGATGACTGGCAAATCTCCTCGCATGCTGGGCTGTCAGCGTCTCCCAAGGCCTTAGAGAACTGCCTCGGTCTCACGTCTCAGGGTCTGGGAGCCTTCCGGGGGAATGGCTGTCTTCAGCCCCATACTGCTCACACCTGCATATGTGTGTTCTTGTTTTGCAGCAGGGCCACTGACTATCCAGCAAGCCTTGGCTTACTTTGGTGGGGCAGTGGCTTCCACCACAGGACTGGCTGTGGTTGGGACGCTCCTGGCTCTGCTAAGAAGGCGTTGCAGACAGAAAGGTAAACAGGACTGTCTTCTCCTCTTTCTTCCCTCTGTGTGGCCCGAGGAGGCGCTGTGAACAGTCTCAGCACTGTATGTCTGAAAACATTTGCATTAAAAGAAAATAAGGCCAAGAGAAGTAATCTTGAAAGTGACCAGTGGAATCACCTGAAGACCTTCATGAAGTTAAGATTCTCTCGCAGGGAGACTAGGGGGTGGGCCTAGAAGTCTAAATGTCTCAAAGGCCTTCCCCTCCAAGTGCTGAAGTGGCCAGTCTGCAGTTCGATATTTAGAGGTCTCTGGTGTGGGGGGCTCTAGGTGTCACCTAAGGTGATTAGAAAAGCAGGGTGCTTTCTCTCTCACTCACTCCTTCACCCAACAGCTGCGTATCAATCAAGTCTGTCGAGCACTGAGACCCGGAATGTTGGTCTCTGACATTAAGGAAAAATATTAGACTGAGGGAAAGACAAGATGTACTTTTTTTATGCAAACATATGTCATGACTTTTCTGACAGCCCACCATAATCCAGTAGAGGAGATGCACGCATTATCAGCGCTAATACCGAAGTGCAGTGTATTAGGACAGAATACAACCTGGGCATGACCAGAACACAGACCAGGTGTCTCAGCTGGGCCAGTAGGGCAGAGAGCTTTTTGAAACTTAGATTTAAAGAATGAAAGGTCAATGGGAACCAGCAGTTAGCATAATGGCTATGTTGCTGGACTCCCACGTAGTCGACCGCGGTTTGTGTCCCGGACCCGGTGGCTTAAAACTCACCCGGGCGCGTGTGCATGTGTGCCCAAGATCCCGAGAGGAGAATGGAGGAGAAGGGATTGCGGCTTGACCATCTCTCCTGGGGAGTGATTTCTCGCTTTCTGTCTCTATGTCTCTCTCTGTCTGGCGAGCGCACACGCCCTATAGCAAAAACCTCTTCAAAAAAAAAAAAAAAAAAAAAGAATGAAAGACCAAGGGGAAAAGCAGAAACAAACTTTCTCAGAGTAAAATTGCACATGGGAGGACAGGAAAGGGTAAAGCAGGTGGCAGTGGTGTGCTCAGCAGTTCAGAGTGCCCGAGCCATGGGGGGGCTGGAGGAGACAGGGGTGAACTGGGGGAGCAGGAGCTGCCTTGTTAGTGAGCAGCTGGGATAAGCTGAGGGAGCTGCAGTTTCTCCTGAAAACTCATGGAAGTGACAGGATTTAGGCAGAGGGTGACCAAACAGAAGAAGACTTTCTCTAAGGGAAACTAGACTGATCATCGGAGAAAAGACTCTGGCCTAGGGATTAAAAAAGGGAAAGACCCATCTCTTTAGGTTTAAAGTGCCCTTCCTCAGTCTGCTGCAGACACCCAGCCTGTTCACGACTGCCTGAGCTCTGGTTGGGAACCTAACGGGCTCTTTCCCGTCACTCCTCATACAGGGTAGTCGGGGACATCAGAGGGTACTCGTGGTCAACTCCAGCATCCGACAGTGGCCATGTTAAAGTCCCTGACCAGTTCTCATTGCTCTGAGGAGATTCAGTCCCTGCCTTTAACTGCTCAGGGCAGGACCACTTGTCCCCTCTCTTATTCTCCCTCTGCCCCAAGCTCCCCTGCCTGGAGGCTGTTATTCCAGAACTCCTGTACTCCGTTGTTCTAACAATGGGTAATACTCTGCTAAAAACCAAAGAGAGGCCAGCAGATGGCATGGTGGTTACGTTGTTGGACTCCCACATGCCAATCATGGTTCAAGTCCTAGACCTGGTAGCTGAGAATCATGCCAGGCGCATATGTGTGTGTGCTCAAGATCCGAGGAGGAGAATGGAGGAGAGAAGGGATTGTGGTGTGGCCATTACCCCTGAAAAATGATTTCTCACTTTCTCTCTCACTGTCTCTGTCTCTCTCTCCAGTGAGAGCATGTGCCCCAAAGCAAAAACTTCTAAAAAAATAAAAAAGACCAAAGAGAAATATCAAGGTCTGCAATTAATATCATTGTGAACAGATACGTGCCTGGGAGGTGGAGGCAAGCGCTCTGAGACCAGATCCTCATCTCCAGTCTCGGAGGGAACACACTATTCCTGCTCTTCCCCAAATTCTTTCTTTAGTTTTGAGACATTTCTAGGGGACCCCCTGAACAATGGACAGGGACTAGCAGCCAGTGTCTTTAACAACAAATAAATCCACTGTTTTGGAGTAGGGGGTTTAGGAGTTTGTCCCAGCTGGGCTTCAGACTTCCCAGATCCTGTGGTCACACGGTGGGAAACGCTGCACTCCTGCCCTCTGCCAACTCGGAGTGCACGCTCACTCTCACTGAGGGCTCCACGGTGCCCTGGGATAAGTACACCCATCCATCGTCTTCATCCAATCCAGTGTTTTCCAAGTTCATTGAGCTGTGAGACACTACTCCTCTTTTATCTACCTGGGGGATGGCTGGCAGGCCCACGGCCATGTCTGAGGACTCAGCACCAGTGTCTGCTGTTCCGATTAAGACTGGAGATGTCTGAGCGCTGGTGATGGGAGGGGAAGCACCCACTGCCATGCTGGTGTGGCTCTGTTCATGGTTAGCTTGCTTGGCTGAGGCTGAGGGAAGGTGACAGGGTGCAGCAACAGGGCCCCAAGTTCATGGTTAGCTTCCCTGGCTGAGGGCTGAGGGCTGAGGGCTGAGGGAGGGTGATAGGGTGCAGCAACAGGGCCCCAAGTTCATGGTTAGCTTGCCTGGCTGAGGGCTGAGGGCTGAGGTCGAGGGTGACAGGGTGCAGCAACAGGGCCCCAAGTGCCAAGAAACAGGTTGCAAGAACCAATGTCTGAATGACCACATAACAAAACAACCTGACGTGTGTGTGTGTGTGTGTGTGTGTGTGTGTGTGTGTGTGTGATTACTTACACAGCCTTCAGGAGGCTG